CAACGAAGGCTTCATGCAGATGCTGCTGATCTCGGGCGACAATGCCAAGGATCGCGCCTTCTACGAGGAGTTGTCGACCTTGAGCGGCCGGCCGATGATCATGAACGTGATCCAGGCCTTCGATCACCGGCCCGAGATCCATCGCCGCGGGCTCGCCTGGCTGAAGAGCTGCCGCGAGCGCGGCATCCGCGTGGTGGGGCAGGGGCTCACGACCGATGCGGGCTTCACCTTCACCTTCGAGGACTGGAACCTGTTCGACGATTCGCAGGACTGGTGCGATGCCACGACCGGCACGCGCGAGGAGCGGCTGGCGAAGCTCGCCGATCCGGCTCGCCGCGCGAAGTTGCGCGAAAACCTGCCAATCACGGCCACGGGGCCGCTGCCGCAGATCGCGATCGTCGGGCCCAAGACCGAACGCAACAAGAAGTGGCTCGACCACACGCTGGCCCACGCCGGCGAGAAGATGGGCAAGCATCCGGTCGACGTCATGCTCGACATGGCGGTCGAGGAGAATCTCGAGACTGAGTTCTTTGCCGCCCCACCCAACGGCAGCATCGAGTACCTGAAGGAACTGGTCGACGATCCCTACATCCTATTCGGCGTATCGGACGGCGGCGCCCACACCAAGTTCCTGACGGCCGGCCGCTATCCGACCGAGACGATCTGCAAGGTGGTGCGTCAGCACGGCATGCTCAGCCTCGAGGACGTGCATTGGCGGCTGTCGGCGCTGCCGGCCGAGGTCGCGGGATTCCGCGGCCGCGGCATGCTGAAGAAGGGCGCGCCGGCCGACATCGTGATCTACGATTATGACGGGCTGAAAGTCTTGCCTGACGAGATCGCGCACGATCTTCCGGGCGGGGAATGGCGCCGCGTGCAGCGGGCCTCGGGTTACAAGTACATCCTGGTCAACGGCGAGGTCACGATGCGCAACGACCGGCCGACCAACAACTATTCCGGCCGCCTGCTGCGCCACGGCGCATGACCGGCTACTGACAGGCCTGACCCTTCACCGGGACACGCAGCTTCCAGCACAGGGTCTCGCCTTCGGCCGCGCGACCGGAATTGCAGAAATAGACCTCCCTGTCTTTCTGCAGCCAGACACCGCCCGGAATGGCGGCCTTGATGTCGAAGCCGGTCGAGATCAGCAGCCCGGGCGACATCGCTGCCGCCTCTGAATATTGCGACACACAGGCCGGCGGCTTGCCTTGCGGGGGGTGCTGAGGCTGCGCCCAGGCCGTGGCGATTGCGAGGCAAGTGAACAAGAGGGCCAGCAGCGACTTCATTCCAACCCTGTTCGGTTCAAATCACTTAAATTTTATGTTGTTCAGAAGGAAGATGCAACGGACGGGCGTATTTCGA